TCTCTCTCTCTCTCTCTCTCTCTCTCTCTCTCTCTCTCTCTCTCTCTCACACACACACACACACACACACACACACACGTTTATTCGATACCTGGGGGTGATGATTGATGCACGACTGAACTTCAAGCAGCAAGCGGAGCACGTGGGGACCAAGGCATCTGGTGTGAGATCCACCTTGTCACGCTTCATGCCTAATATTGGGGGACCCAAGCAAAGAAGACGAGCACTGTTGTCTTCAGTGATTACTTCAGTGCTCACATATGCAATTCCCGTTTGGGGAGATGTACTACAACTGCAGGAAGCGCGACGCAAGATCGCACCAGTCTATCGACTTGGTGCTCTTCGAGTTGCAACTGCATATCGGACGGTTTCTGAAGATGCGGTATGTGTCATCGCAGGAATGTTGCTCATCGAGGTTTTGGCTGAGGAGCGAGGATCGCTGTATAAGCGGAAACGATCGTTCGCATCGAAAATGATAAGCGCCGAAGAACTGGCGGCTGAGGAGAGGCGAAACAGCATGAACCGATGGCAGGAGAAGTGGACGAATTCGACCAAGGGAAGATGGACCTATCGTCTAATTCCACAAGTAGCCGCGTGGGTAAGTCGAAATCATGGAGAGGTAAATTATTATCTGTGCCAAATGCTTTCAGGACACGGGTGCTTCAGAGAATACGTTCATAGATTCAAGCATGAAGATTCTCCGGAATGTCCCACCTGCTCAGGAGTGGCAGAAGACGCAGAGCATGTATTTTTCGGCTGTCCTCGTTTCAGCGATATTCGGAATATCTGGGAGTCAGAACTCACGAGGACTATCTCACCCGAAAATTTGGTGGAAGAAATGCTGTCATCGCAGGCAGCCTGGGTCGCAACAAGCAACTTCGCGACAAAAGTCCTGAAGGAGCTCAGAAACGAGGACCGCAAGCGAAAAGCTTCAACATAGGTTAGGGGGACGTACATAAGATGGTGAAGGCGGAAGAGCATACAGCTGAGACCTCCCTCGCGAAGTAATACTTAACGGTGGTGCCGCGAGGGATTCAAAAGTTAGTGAATTTGTCTGACGGGAGTTTAGTGGGTATTGACAGTCACTGTCCGAGCCCCACACTCACCTGACGGGGGGAAGCTCCTATTCCCTCCCTCAGGTGGTCGTGCGTAAATGCATTCTCCAACAGACGGAAAAAAAACACACACACACATGCACACGCCTTTAACTCAGCTAGATGGGATATCATTATGGAGTCCCTCAAAAGCATGATGGACTGTCATGTACGACGGACTGCTTAAGATACCGTTACCAAGAGCAGCAAAACTCATCGCTTTTGCAGATGACGTCGCAGTGGTCATAGTGGGCAAATATCTTGAGGATATTGACAACATCTTCGATGTGACCTTTGCCCGAGTTCGCCAGTGGATGGAGTCAGTTGGCTTGCGACTAGCAGAGCATAAGACGGAAGCCGTATTAATTACCAGCAGGAAGAAGGTAGAGACAATCACGCTGCGAGTTGGTAACCATGAAATGACATCCCAGCCGTACATTCGGTATTTAAGGGTGATGATTGACACCGGGCTCAATTTTAAGCAGAAAGCTGTGCACGTGGCTATGAAGGCGTCAACGGTGGGATCACTCCTTTCAAGGTTGATGCCCAACGTGGGAGGCCCCAAGCAGACGAGAAGAGCACTTCTGACATCTGTAACCATGTCAGTCCTTATGTATGACATTGTCATCTGGGCTGATGCACTGTCATTGCAGGAGTCACGGCGAAGAATGAGTCCGGTCTATCGACTGAGTGTATTACGTGTAGCCTGCGCATTTCGCACGGTTTCCGATGATGCTGTGTGTGTCATAGCCGGAATGATACCGATAGGGATACTAGCGCAGGTACGAAGATCCCTGTACCAGCAGAAAGGGTCGGCCTCACTGAGGCCAGCCGAGCTGAAGGCTGAAGAGAGACGTAAGAGCATGGAGAAATGACAGGCACAATGGGACATGTCACTGAAAGGGAGATGGACGTATCGCCGGATCCCTCAGGTAGGTGCTTGGGTAAACCATAAACATTGTGAGGTTAACTACTACTTAACTCAGATGCTTTCAGGTCATGGATGTTCGGGCGTATCTTCATAAATTCAAATATGAGGATTCCCCGAAATGCCCCTTTTACACTGTAATTGATGAAGACGTGGAACATGTGTTTTTTATGTGCCCACGTTTCAGAACAAGCCGCTCGGAGTGGGAGTCTGCACGTGGTGGAGCGATCCTGCCTGAGAACCTGGTGGAAGTAATGCTGTCATGTAAGGCAGCCTGGGACGCGACGAGCGACTTCGCGATGAAAGTCTTCAAGGAGCTACGGGAGGAAGAGCGTCGCCGAAATAATGCTGCATAAGAGGAAAAATAACCGGAACCTCCTTCTCACCCCCAACATCTGAGTGACGAAGGAGGACGTACGGCACAGTGTTTTGATAGAGAAAGAGCCACAGCTAGAATGTCCCCCCCCGTGAAGTAATGCCTAGCGGCGGTCCCGCGGGGAGTATGGGGTAAGTGAAAACTGGTCTGACTGGAGTTTAGTCGGTATTGACAGTATGTCCGAGTCCGACACTCGCCTGACGGAGGGAACCATGGGTCACGTCCCTCAGGCGGTAGTGCATAAATGCATTCTCCGAACAGACCAAGGGAAAAAAAACACACACACACATACACACACATACGCGCACATACACACATACACATTCCCAAACTACTGTGTTTCTTTTTTTCTTTTATGTTCATTTTTCATCATCTTTTATTAATTGATGTATTTTTTTTTGTTTCAGAGAGGAGATCGGTGGGAGGGCGGACTTGGCCCACTCACCCTCAGAGCTCAGTGGGTCCGGGGTCTAAGACGTGAGGCCAGACAGTTGGAGGCCGAGAGCGAGCAAGATCTCGGCTTGTATGACGTGGAGGATTCGTGGGACCTTCACATCCTCTTCAGGGACGCCCCGCCCCGTCCAGACGAGAGCGAGGACAACTGGCACCTCGAGGAGTGGGACACACAGCCGCCGGGAGGGCACCGCAATAATAATAATAATAATATAATGTATTTTCTTTTTAAAAAATGTACTTTTAATTTCAAGTTTTAGTTTTAAGTTTTAGATTAAAAAAAAATGTATTTTTTTACAATTAGGGTTTTTGAATAACGAAAAATACATTCTATATTCCTCTTCTTCATTTCAACAATAAAATACCTTGAAAAATTTACTTCCCTCTAAAATGAGTATTTAAGAAAAAACAAAGAAAAAGTTCGCGTTTTTTGTTTCATTTTGAAAGAAATTCATTCTTTAAAAAAAAAAATTACGCAAATAAAAATTTATATCTAGTTTGAATTTATAAAAAATGTTTATTAGTTTTTACTAAAAATCTCAACCTAAATAAAATATAAAAAATTAATCTAGCTTATATCTTACGTCTAGTTCTTAATACTAAGTCTTACATCTAATTCCTAATCGCTACCTCAAAAATCAAAAATATTTTTCATTCGTCGGGTTCAATCGCGCATCGTTTTATCTTATATCCATAGGGGAGGGTTGCAGCGCTATTATCAAGCCTTCGTTTCGGGCCCGTCGCGTGGATAATCTTGCTCTCGGGTTTCGTGATGACGTCATGGTACATTGTCCGTCGTATACCCTTGTAGTTGATCTGGTAAGGCTCTACCTTATCGACACCGAGGGCACGAATCGAGTCGTAATGAATCTGTTTACGCGTGTCGTAATTTAGCCTAACGCCTTCTATTTTACTAACTTCTGCGATGTTTCCATCCGGTTTCTTCACGCGATAAGTATAAAATTTTGGACCGCCAGAGACAAAAGTCGTAATGAAACTCCCTTCTCCGTAGCCCTCTACTTCGTCGGTCAAGTCACCCAGAAAATTCCTCAGTGGTAACTCGTTAGTTCCATCGCTCACGTAAATAACCGAGTCTGTATCATAATATAAAACGCGTTCTTGCTGTTTTTCTAAATAAGAATATAATTTGAGACGTGCGTGAGCTGTTGTATAAGCCGCAATAACAACGTTGGCTTTGGTAGACAGTTCCGCAGCTTCGTTTAAATGTTTCCAGGACATGAAGAGAGTCTCGTTATCGACAGGGACAAGCCCTGTCACTTCGATTTCAGGATTGAACATTATGTTAGCAAACTCCTCATATGTCCGAATAATTGCCTTTTTCGTTAAATTTTCTCTTTCCCCAAATTTACCCCAGAGACAGTTTAAACAAAGTTTTGCTACTGCTCTCAATCCAGCATTTTTTAAAATTTTATTCCTGTCGAGTTTTATTCCCTCTCTCGCCTCATATTCGGATACATATCTATCCTTGGATTCATCATCTATGCATTCTGCCGGCCAATCGGAAGCCTCTTGTTTGATTTTTAAAAAAGTGTNAATCTTGCTCTCGGGTTTCGTGATGACGTCATGGTACATTGTCCGTCGTATACCCTTGTAGTTGATCTGGTAAGGCTCTACCTTATCGACAACGAGGGCACGAATCGAGTCGTAATGAATCTGTTTACGCGTATCGTAATTTAGCCTAACGCCTTTTATTTTACTAACTTCTGCGATGTTTCCATCCGGTTTCTTCACGCGATAAGTATAAAATTTTGGACCGCCAGAGACAAAAGTCGTAATGAAACTCCCTTCTCCGTAGCCCTCTACTTCGTCGGTCAAGTCACCCAGAAAATTCCCCAGTGGTAACTCGTTAGTTCCATCGCTCACGTAAATAACCGAGTCTGTATCATAATATAAAACGCGTTCTTGCTGTTTTTCTAAATAAGAATATAATTTGAGACGTGCGTGAGCTGTTGTATAAGCCGCAATAACAACGTTGGCTTTGGTAGACCGTTCCGGAGCTTCGTTTAAATGTTTCCAGGACATGAAGAGAGTCTCGTTATCGACAGGGACAAGCCCTGTCACTCCGATTTCAGGATTGAACATTATGTTAGCAAACTCCTCATATGTCCGAATAATTGCCTTTTTCGTTAAATCTTCTCTTTCCCCAAATTTATCCCAGAGACAGTTTAAACAAAGTTTTGCTACTGCTCTCAATCCAGCATTTTTTAAAATTTTATTCCTGTCGAGTTTTATTCCCTCTCTCGCCTCATATTCGGATACATATCTATCCTTGGATTCATCATCTATGCATTCTGCCGGCCAATCGGAAGCCTTTTGTTTGATTTTTAAAAAAGTGTTTATATACTCGACAAATAAACCTCCTGTTCGTGTCCTAGGATCATAACGTGTTGTTTTTTTATACTCCCAAATTTCACTAATTTCCCAAATGTTATACCCCACGTCTACGGCTTTACGGAGCTCTGGGGCGACCCAAGTCCCCAACAACTCGCGATCAGTGGGATCATCATGAGGGCAATTGTCTTGTAGTAAACCTTCGCAGCATGACCGACAGAGAGGAAACAGTAGCTTACCATGTGCTTCGACAGGTAAAACTGGGTGAAATAATCGTCGCGGGGGTAAAATGCGGCATTTCACAAGTACTTCTATCCACGAAATATCATTATTAGGACATATGAGCTGACAATCGTTCCCTACATGTACAGTGGGGTGACCGATAGAAAAATCCCCGTCTTTAAAACATGGATATAAAGAACAAACGTCGACATATCGAATTTTTTCATTCTCTTTAACATCATAGTGTGTTACGGTATTTCCCGTACGTCCACCGAAAAATGCGTCTCGGGGATCTAAAGCAACAAACATTTGTTGATCGATATTCTCAAGAAAATTTGACAGTTGGAGATCTGTCTTTTTTTACGAATAAAATCGCATTCCCACATTTCAACGACTTCGTAACCCAAGTTTTGCAATTCCCTTGTAATTGCTCCTGTTCTCTCATATCGACTCTCCAATGTATCCTTATGGCTCAACTCTTTATCTCTATTAAACTTGAAACGCCGTGGACAACCGTGCCAATAACAGCCGTGAAACTGATATGCATATTTGTTATTATTTTCAACANCTCCTCAAAAATCCCCTGTCAAATGTATCTGTTACTTTTAATAATTGTTCAAATATTTCAATCTATCTGACAAAAAAATATGAGTAATGATAATAATAATAATAATAATAATAATAATAATTTATGTTCATTAATTCTTCATACTAATAAAAACATAATGAAAAATCAACAAACTTTC